TCAAAACATGACCGGGACACCATCCGCCCACCAGCTCTGACGGTGACCCGACGGCGCCCGTCCGCCTAATAGTTTTGCAAGACCCCATAGCATGGCTATTGGGGAACAAACTCCTGTTCAAAGAGAGGCCTTACTAAAGAAGCCCAAAGACCTTTTAGATCCTTTTAGACCTTCTTTTTCTGTTCTTTTTTCCTCAACCCTTCTATGCGAAAGCCTTGGGCCTTCGGCATGGCAGCATGGCATGGCCTTACCATCCTACTCCGACTGATGCAGCCACCGCACTGGACGCATCGGAAAAGAAGAAAGAAAACCCCCATCTCCACGTGCAGATCGAACACCCTTGATGATGTCCTTGGCTATCATAAGCTCATTCAGCTCATTCCTGCCCTTGCTGCTCGACACTTTGTGTAGCTGATGGTGCGGCTTGTTTGGCTTGTTTCTATGCCCAAGGCTCTAAGAGCTGGCGACCTTCAGAAGCCTGAAGGATCTTTCGAACACTTTCCTCACATCTTTCCTGAAGCAACTTCCCAACCTTGTTGAGGATGGGTGTGCCTGTGAAGCCTGCCAAGACCGTGCTGCTTGTAGTTGAGAGTAGGGTTCCTTGTGGCTGAATTGACGAGTTGACGTGAGCAAGGGTCTTGCAGTCAATGCAAAGTCACATGCAGCAGAATGCAGTTGATCTGTGGCAAGTTGCGAAGCCTTGCAAGTTGCTCTCCATATTGGGTCTGTGATCGTACTAAATTGTGCACCTGAATTGGGCAACAAAGTCTAGATTGATATTGAAGGGTCAAGGAAATGGCTGTCTATAATTGTCCACCACGTCTGCACCTCGTCCATCAGGACAACCTGGGTTTTCTGCCAACACTTTGTAGGAGGACAGTTGGCAAGTAGCAAATGCAAGTGAGTGAGGGATAGGGCTAGCCGAGTTACCTTGTTCGAATAAGCATTTCCACCATCACGAGCACGGGTGAATGCCACCTTCAGGAGTGCACTAGCTGGCCACCCATCCTGAGCAAATGCTGTCAATGAATGGCTTCGTCAACAAATGCTCGTCCTTTGTGGCCGCCAAGTAGCTGGGCGCAGGTCAGCCTTTGCGAGAGAGGGTCGAAGGCTTGGGAAGATTGGGGTGAGGGGGGAATTGCTCGTGCATCTGCAACAATTGACCAGTCTAGTTGGAAACTGTGTCAGGGTGCATAACCATTCAGGTGTGCGCACCGGCGCCACCAAGGGTAGTAAAGTGGCTATGTTCAGTGGTACAGACATAATTGGGGCATCCACAAACAAGATCAAACAAGTCTCAAGCCTTAAGGATTCGGGAGAATCGAAAGAGGTGCCCTAACCCATGGAAATCGGTGAATGAAGCTAAAAGCCTTCTTACCAAGAAAAACAGTGCTCATTGATGAAATGTGATGGGACATAGAGAGGCAAAATCAGACCCAGCTAGATCGGAGAAAAGGTGAGGGGAGAGACGGGAGAGAAGAGAAAATAAGATCACGAAAAGCCAGGAGATGGTGATGTGAGCAGTGGCATGATGAAACTTTCGACCGCAACGTCTAAAAGCTGAGCACTGCGTCAGTCCGAGTTATTCACCGGATCACTCAATCCGTCGGAGCGCCGGTGTGTATATATATATACAAAGGGCAGGGACGAAATCAGCATGAGCTGATGACTCGCGCTTACCAGGAATTCCTCGTTGGAAATCAATGATCTATATATCCCCATCACGATGCACTTTAACAAGATTACCGAGCCATTTTGGAGAAGTAGAAGCGAGGCAATCAACTGAGGCTGTGGTCCAACGTATGACTCCGAAATGTGATGAGGCGTCTGCAAGGGAAAATTAAGCAAACAAGTGATTTCAACTGATGCCAAGTGGGGAGAAAACGCGGAGACGGCAATGGGCTTAAAGTTGTTCATGTTCAGACTTTCAGTCTGTGAGGCTTGATGCAGAGCAACTGCACCAAGTCTACCTCTCTTGGCTCAGGCGGCAGCATAGCGCCCCCCTGCTGATGTGTAGCGAAGAGCACGCAAAGGTGCCGCTGGGACTGCTTCCTCCGGAAAGCGGGCCTTAAATGCCTCAGGTCTGCAAGCAGTGCTGTTTTGCTCAGTCCCATGTGAAGCATCGCTCTTAGGTTGGAGGCCATTGCTATTGGGTTGGAGGCCATCGCTAATAGAAATATAGAACAAAAGATATGTCTGTTTTGCTCTGTCACTGCAACCATCGGACAGGCGAGTACCCGGAACATCTGCCACAATGGGATATTGGGCCACCAGCCTCTTGTCGAGACCTCCTCATTCGTCCCATGTAGAACCTCAAATGGCTTCAGTGGAGACACAGGAGGCAGGCCCAAGCAACCAATTACAGTAGTACTTACATGGTACAATAGTTCAGAGTTGCAGCACAATTTGCCAACAAGGTTCACTAGGGTGACGGTGCTACCATGTCAATGTTGTGCTCTCAAAAGCATCTATGAGACCTCCCTCGCCAAGCATCCACCCCTTCATCTCCAACACATCCCGCAGCGTTCTGCAAAGCTCTTTCAGCTCTTGACCGGGAATCTCCTCAGATTCAACCCGTTTGGGTTCAACCCGTGACTCAGAGAAGCAACTCGAGTTCAGATGTGGCTCTGCCAAGTCCCACAGTTCAGCTCGTCGACCCCTCCAATCACTACATCCACAAGCTCGCGCAGCATCCGTGGGCCTTGTAATGTTTCAACTTGGGCACATCTGTGTTTCCGTTTGCCCGCTTGGCCTTAAACAAGAAAAGAAGTCTCTGTACCTGCGGCCATGCGGTTGGACAAAGCAAGCAAAAGGAACACACGCACACACACTACGTCACGCACCGGCTCGGCCACCGGAGCAGCTCCAAATAGAAATTGCGGCACACTGGCTCCTTGGCGCCGCACAGCATGGGGGGTTCTGCGATAACACATGTATGATATATGTATATGAGTATATGTATATATATATATGTATATAAATGCGTGTGTGTGTGTGTGTATGTGACAAAGAAATTGGCTGGCTGGCCTTGGGAAATATTGGAACCTTTGGGCGTGGATCCAAGTAGTAATTGTCGAGAACCTTGATCATTTCTCTGGTCTTTCCTGCGAATGGCAGCGTGCAGGTCAAGGCATGCCACGAAACAAACACTTTGCCAGCCTTGCCTGACCCAGTTGGATGGTCGACGAGCCTTTGTGCTTGCAGGCTAGTGCTTCGCAGCATTGACTGTCATAAAGATTTCAGGCTGTAGCAATCGCATGACGGGGGACTGCGGGTGGAGAAGGAAAGCCACAGCCTGCGGGTGAAGCATATGAAGACCTCCCGCCAACTATGGTAAACAGTTCTTGCAAAACCCGGAAGGCCCATTCTCTGGAGCGCCTCCTGATGTGGCTGCATGGGTGGACAGTTGCCATTGCCTGGCATACCAGCAGCTTCCAAGCAAGTCTAGGCGATGTCACTGGAGCCGTACCTCGCACTGTCACCTATTAATAATGTTCACACTCCCGCAGTCACTGCCTTCCAAGATTGTCTTCTTTTTTCCAATGCCAGCATTCCACATGGCCCGTCCCTGAGCGCAAAGATTGGAATCAAACCATTGGAAATCTGTTCATCAATGCCACATGCCTTTTTCTGTATTTTTTTTGCACTTGCTGGTGTTCTGACTGAATGTGGAAATCCGCACAAACACTGCGAGGTGGATTGTCCTATGGAAACCAGAAGGGCGAAAGCACCAAGCCACGGCGAAACGATTGAAGCCTTGGTGGCTGCACTTCAGCCCCATCCAGGAACTAGAAAGGTGAAGCAGTCAAGCCAACAAAAACTCAGTGATACTTTTCCTCAACTAAGCACCTGGAGAACCAACTGGCGGAGCATCTGCCCAATTCCCACGATAGGTGGCGTCTACTGGTGCTTGCTCCTTTGGGACACTCAGTCAGTTGAACGACGAATCCCATCAATGAACACCCCCATCAACAGTCGCAGGCTCAAAGCGTTCCTGCTTGACAATCAAGTCCTTGAGCCCCTTTTCACCTAGGGCGTGAGTTTGCATCCACAAAGGACATTTAAAAAGAAGGAAGGCCCCCTTCAAAGCCCTACCTTCTTTTGCCCACGCTTTTTAAGACACACGCTCTGGGCACAAAGCCAACTTTGTCACTTGATTTGCACACCCCTGGGATGGAGTCGGTCTGGAATATGCCCCGCCTGCGACTTCTTTGTCCAGTTCTTCTTCCGGATCAAGGTCCGAATACTCATTATCCTGCGCAAACTCTGCACCATGCTCGGGTCATTCTCTGGAGAATTGTCTGCTTGTCACGTGGTTTCTCTGTCACTTCCCTGCAGTTTGCTTAGCAATTGTTAGAAAGGCCGAACCGTTCCAAGCCGGAAAGAATAACTTCACTGGTTAAAAACCCCTGCGCGCCAGATGCACCTCTTTTTACATTCGCAACCCTGGTGTGGGGAGAACAGTGACCTGCTTATAAAGGAAATCAACCACCTTCCAATTTACGGGCACCCCTCTGCAACGAACAGGCACCTCCCTTGCAACAAGGAGAGGGCGGGCGGGGTCAAAAAAAGAAAATAGCCAAGCAAAGCCCGTGGCGGAGGGTCACACAGTCGCCAACAAAAACGTTGCCCAACTTCAAGAGCAACCTCACTCGGCTCAACACATGCATTCCAAGAAAAGTGATGACCAGTTGCAGTGATCAACCCAACAGTCTGGCACGCTCGCGTGCACGTCCCGCCCCCTCCCTCTCTCTCCGTCCCTCTCTCCATCCCTCTCTCTCTCTCTCTCTCTCCCTCCCTCTCTCCCTCCCTCCCTCTCTCTCTCTCTCTCTCTCTCTCTCGCTCTCTCTCCCTCTCTCTCCCTCTCTCTCCCTCTCTCGCCCTCCCTCTCCCTGTCCCTGTCCCTCTCCCTCTCCCTCTCCCTCTCCCTCTCCCTCTCCCTCTCTCTCTCTCTCTCTCCCCCTCCCTCCCTCTGCCTCTCTCTCTCTCTCTCTCCCTCTCCCTCTCCCTCTCCCTCTCCCTCTGCCTCTCTCTCTCTCTCTCTCTCTCTTTCTCTCTGTGCAGGGCATGCTATTTACACTGGCAGCCTGCAAACTACGCAGAAGATTAAAGCAATGCGGTCCTAAGGCAGCGGGCCTATCAAGTTACAGTGTCTGGAATTGTAAAGTTTCCTGTGCCCTCCGGCGGCAGACAGCCACACACCAGGTAATCGCAAAACATCCAAGATTTGACACAAAGTTCGTCTGCATTGCTCTCAATGAATCCGTTCATCCAAGCCCGACTTGCTGCGGTAGCTGCCGTGCATCAACCCGGTAGGTCTTCCACACACGCTGTAAACATGTGTTTCCTCTTTCCTGCATTGTTCACCTACTGCGCAAACGCACCGCCGCTCACTACCACATTGAAGAAGCTTGTGTCAGTCGTGCGTTTCAGGGCACCCAAAGTCTCCAAAGCTGAATATTGCACAAAAGTCTAGGTACAGTCAGCTTCAGAAGCTGTGTAAGTGACCGATACGCCGTTCACAACTCACAGTAGTCGGACCAAACACTGATGGGTTGCCAAATCATAACGAGGAAACGATTGCGCGTGTTCCTTTGAGAATGTGACAAGGTCGGCGTGCCCTACACTTAAAGTATGCCAACTAGGTTGAAGAAGTTATGTAGATTCCCGCTAGCCCACATTGGTCACCCATTCCATCTCCACATATCTCCACGGGTGAGAGATCAAAAAAATATTTAACGTATCAATAAGAAAATATTCTACACGCATCAATTAAAAAAATATATACTGACTCAAAAAATAAATATTCCAAATAGCAGTAGCAGTAAGAGTAGCAACAGTACTATAATAGCAGCAGTATCGTAGTGGTAGTCGTAGTGTTTCGTGGCAGGTGCAGTGCTTTGTGGACCTTGCAATGCACATTTCGTGGCAGGTGCAGGACTTTGTGCATGTTGAAGTGCAGAGTTGGTGGCCAGTGGCAGGCGCAGGACTTTTTGTGGACCTTGAAGCGCAGATTTCGTGGCAGGTCTAGTACTTTGTGGCCCTTGGAGTGCAGATTTCGTGGCAGGCGCAGGACTTTGTGGACCTTGAAGTGCAGATTTCGTGGCAGG